GACAGGGACAGTGACAGTGACAGTGACAGGGACAGGGACAGTGACAGTGACAGGGACAGGGACAGTGACAGTGACAGGGACAGTGACAGTGACAGGGACAGGGACAGTGACAGTGACAGGGACAGGGACAGGGCCAGCAGCCCCAGCCCAGCCGTGACGCGGCTCCCGGATCATTTCTCTGGTTCACGGAGCGCTGCGGGCTCGGGCGGCCGCGGCTCCCACCCCGCACACCAGGGCGGCTCTTTTGGGGATCCCCCAGCCCCGAAACCCCGGGATCGGTGCCGACCCCTCCGGGAGGGGATGGGACCCCGGCCCGGTGCGGGGTTCGGGCTCCGGGCGTGGGGTTCCCCGAGGGAGCAGCCTCGGCTGGGACTGGGTGCGGAGCCGGGGTTCAGCCCCTCGGGAAGGGACCGGGGAGGGGCGGGCTGCAGCCCCCGAGGGGTGCGGGACAGGCCCGGGGGGCGCGGGCAGCGGGACCCCGAGGGGACGAGCGGGAACAACCGGGCGGAAGCGCCGGGTCCGCACGGCTTCACCCTGGGCGCCGCCATCTTCGCTCATCAACCAATCAAAAGCCCAGCTGCGCCGTTAGCCCCGCCTACCTCTGTGCATTGACCAATAGCGTGCGGCAATGGGCGGGGCGCGCTGAGGCCGGTACCGCGGTGGAGCTGCTCATTAACCAATCAGAAGCGTGGTTTCGGTGCTAGCCGCGCCCCTCGGTGGGTATCGCCCAATGGCGTGCGGCGGTGGGCGGGGCTAGGCCGGGGCAATGGCGCTGCGCGGGGCCATGAGCGCGGCACGGGGCCGGTAACGGGGACAGGGGGGACACGGGGACAGGGGGACACGGGGACACGGGGACACGGGGACAGGGGGACACGGGGACATGGGGACAGGGGAGGGGCGGTATTTGGGGAGGGGTCTCACCTGGGGAGGGGATCCATGAGGAGGGGTCTCACCTGGGGAAAGGTCTCGCCTGAAGACGAGCAGTATTTGGGGAGGGTCAGTATTTGGGGAGAGGTCTCACTGGGGAGGGTCAGTATTTGGGGAGGGGTCTCAGTGGGGAGGGTCAGTATTTGGGGGGGTCAGTATTTGGGGAGGGGTCTCACTGGCGAGGGTCAGCATTTGAGACGGG